TTTTATTTTATTTTTATTTATTTTAAAAAAATAAATTTTTTAAAAAAAAATTTAAGTAAATTAATAAAACTGTTGTTTAACGATTAATAACGCGAAAATATTTCTGAAAATAGTAAAATTATATTTGTGTAATGAAATCAATAATTATCTACTATAACGAATAATTTATTAATGCTATAACGAATTATTCGTTATACATTCCGCATAATTCGTTATAGCATTAACAAAGATTCTTATAATGAAGTCCTGATCAGCTGGATCGGCAACTTCGTTATATTGAGGTGTAACTGTAGCACTTTTTCAGAATAACCATTTTGATGAAATAATATTTAAATTATGAATAATAATGGTATTGGTTAAGAGTAAACCATTTGAATTGCAATTTAAACTCTAACTGATATAATCAAGAGCCAGTTTTATTTCTGGATCAACAATTAAATGATTATCTTATAGATCAAAATTTTTTTCATTGAAAAAAACTGTTTTCTCAGGAAACAATCATTGAAGCATATGTTGGATTAATACTTTACTTTGCAATTGTATCAAAAAGGTTTATTCTGAGAAAGCAGTTCTATTCCTGCCTACAACACAAAAAGTATAAATTTGTATATAATCCTTTGTGTAACTAATTATTATGTACTGTATGACTGTACTATACGTATAAAGCACCTCCTAGGTAACTTTTATTTTACATCTATAAGTTATATAATGATTTTTTTAACTTTATTTTCTCTTCTGAAAATTCTTTTACATTATATGAGATTTTGTCAATAGAAAACATCTTCTTACTTAATAATTTATTGTTATAAAATGTGTTTCTATCGATGAAACCCTTTATTAGCAAAAGAAAATTTGTCTAAAGTTCAAAATCGTAATAAGTGACATATTACTTATTATTCTAAAAAAAATAATAGATTATTTCCTATAATAAATATTTTAACAGTTTTTATCAATTTCAGAATATTGGGAGAGTCTCTATATACGATAAAGTAGTAATGAGCAATAACTTTTATTGAAATTGGAAGTCTAAAAGTGTTTTCAATTTCTAATACCTATCACTGTGAAGTAAAGCTCTAAATAGTTCAGATTAATCTGAAATTTTCAGTTCAGATCAACTTCAGTTCAGTTTCAGATTGCAAAATATTCAATCTGAAAATTTCAGTTCAGTTCAGATTTTGTTCAGATTATAAATCTAATTTGAACTGAAAAAAATCTGAACTGAATCAAAAATTTTGGATTAATCCAAAATTTCAGATCGTTTAAAACGATTAAATTTATTATTCTTTTAGAATGATTGAAGTTATCATTTTAAAAGAACGATAAAAGAATCATTCATTTGGAACAATTGAAGTTATCATTCTAAACAATCGATAAGAAAATTGTTCAATTGAAACAATGAAATTATTATTTTAAACAAAAAATAAGAGAATTGTTTGATTGGAACAATGAAATTATCATTTCAAATGAACAATAAAAGAATTGTTCAATTGGAACGATAAGAAAATCATTTGATTGGAATGATGAAATTATCATTCTAAACGAATGATAAAGAATCATTTGATTAGAATGATGAAATTATCATTTCAAATGAACAATAAGAAAATCGTTTGATTGAAATGATAAAATTATTGTTCTAAACAAACAATAAGAGAATCGTTCAATTAAAATGATCAAATTATCATTCCAATAAACAATAAGTGAATTATTTGATTAGAATGATTAGAATGATCAAATTATCGTTCTAAACGAACGATAAAAGAATCGTTTGATTGGAACGATGAAATTATTATTCCAATAAATGATAAGAAAATCATTTGATTAGAATAATCAAATTATTGTTCCAAACGAACGATAAAAGAATCATTCAATTGGAACGATCAAATTATCGTTCCAAATGAACAATAAGAAAATCTTTTGATTGAAACGATGAAATTATCATTCCAAACGATCTGAAATTTCAGATTAATCCGAAATTTTCAGTTTAGTTCAGATTTTTACTGGTTTATAGTTCGATTTGGTTTCAGATTAGCATTTTTAAAATTTATAATCTGAACTGAACTGAACCAAAATTTTCAGTTCGATTTTAGATTGGCTTATAATCCAGACTGAACTGAACCGTTCAGAATATTACTGCAAAGGAATGTTAAAACATGGAACAAATTCCACTGCAAAAAGTACTCTGACGCAATGGAAAGGTCAATTCATAATGATTTAAGAGGTGAATTGAGAAAGCTTACAGAGAATTTAGAGTCCAGAAAATAATATGATATGATACTAGCGTTGTGCCATAAATTAAAGGTTATTTTACGTGTTTTTATGGAATGAAAGTATAGTGAGCATGCTACATCCTGTTTCTTTGTATATAGAGAAAAAGAGCATCCAGGTAAAGAGCTTCTGCGATGTGCACATCTTACTATGAGATTTTAAGATCTACTGATTCTGGAGAGGAATCGGCTATATATCTTCCTTTATGATGAAGGATCTTACTCATGCTACCTCTTTTGCGTACTATTACACTAGCACCATCAGGATTCCAGTGAAAGTATCACCACCAGCAGTGATATCCATTTTTGATGTTCCAGAGATTTGTTGTCTCAGCTATATGTCCCAACCTGTCTCACACTATGTCCCAAATGTCCCATCAGTGTCCCATCAATGTCCCATGACAACACTGACCACCAGGAGGGAAAGCACTTAAAGAAATAACAAAAAAGAAAATTTACCCAAAAGAAGTAACGATAATAAAATGGATAGTCCAAATAAGAGACTTATTTGATAATGAAGTTTCTGCTGGTAAGATATAATAAATTTCCTGCATTTAGTAATATCAATCTCAACAAACTCATTCATATTTGATTTTCTGAACAAAAATTATTCATAATACGTTACCAAACCTGATCACCTTCAGTTAAAACGTAATAAATCGGATACAAGTACCAAAAATCAGTTGAACAACGGTTTCCCAATAAGATTTTAAATTGGGTAGAATTCAAAGAGGAAGTGCGAACTCGGAAGCCAGAATGTGTGGATAAGAAGTATAAAAAACCAATGTTTGGACCACGTACAGCATCGGAAATAAACATCCACACATTCTAACACCATTAGATAGGTCAGTTTGATTTCGTGCTTTAGAGGATACAATTGGAGAACCGGATTTTATAGTGGTTGACGACAATTATGCCATTCGAATACAAAACCCGATGGCAGTGTTGTGACATGGGACAGGACAGTCCCACGACATATTTTCGACTTTTTATGTCCGGGACATTTTTGGGACAAATTTTACTATAATAGATTATATATGAAACATTTTTTTGAAACATATGGGACGGGACGGGACATTAAAAAATCTGTGGGACACGTCCCGTGACAACACTGCCCGATGGGTTTTAAAAATACCTCCTAATAAGAACATTGTCGCACTTTTATCTTCAAGAGAGGGACATTAGAAAGGAAATTTTGCAGATTCCAAGAATACCTCAATATATGATCTCATAAATCAAATTTATGCGACCGCTATATTGTCACCTCCTATATAGTCATTCCGTTAAATAAAGAACTCGTTTCACGTGATACAAAAAAGTGGTTTAACGAACGGAAAAATTTAATCCAGATTTTTATTGTCACATGCCCATATATAAATAAATAAAATAAATGCGTCTAAATATAATTGAGGCATTTATATGTTGACATACAAAAATGCAACTAATCTAATGAGTAGTAAAATAATAAGTTATTAATCAGCATATTGTTTACATTTCACGCTAATGATCTCTCTCTCATTCCATTTCAATGCACTTAATTCGCCACCATAAACGCATCTGGAATCAAGTCCAAAACTGTAAGGCTTTATTTTCAATCCTCGCGAAGCGTCATGACCATAAATGACCGTTTTAGGTGATAATGATTTCTCTTGCGCTGCATTCCAATATTTGGTCCAAGCATGACCTTCCTTTTTGTTCTTTGTAGATTTACCATCATCTTTGATATTACGCTGAATAATAATAATAATAATAATAATAATAATAAAAGAATACGTCAGGATCAAAAAAAAAGAACATTATTTTGGAAAAAAAAAAAATAATAATCTCCATTATATGTGTGAATTTACCATATTCATTAAATCGAAAGGATTTTGTTCTAACAATGGAGTATCTGGTAATAAACCAGCATGAACTACATATAAATCATGTTCTGGAATATTCAGAATAATAGGACAACAAAGAAAGTATTCATAAAGTTCCGAGTCGAGTTGCCTATAGGTGATAATCATTTTTAAAGATTTAATATGAAGTTTGTTTCCCTGATTAATAGGATCCACATCCTTTACTTACTCTGCTATTAATCTGTGTTCGGATTTCACCGACATGTCTTTAGGCATATTGTTCTGTCGAATATATTCATCTAATCCGATTCCTTGAGCATCTAAAGAATCTAATAAACTCTTCCACCTCAAAACTTTATCATCATGATTTCCACGTACGCAACTAGCCCCCAAAGAATGGATCAACTTGAGAACTTGAATAGATTCTGGTCCTTTTGCTACCAAATCACCTACAAAAATCAGATGATCTTTTAAAGGATCATAACCAATTTTATTTATTAACTCCGAAAGTTCATTAATCATTCCATGAACATCACCAATGAAAATAATATTCTTATGAGAAAGAGAATCTTCAAGTTTATAAAGTAAACTATAATTAGCACTTGGAGTTTCAGAAACGGGTTTCCTGGTTGAGAAATGGTCTCTCGATATAGTAAATATAAATAAAGCGCAAAGTGATATTATAAGGATAAACGTTATAAACCTGACACTTAGCGAGTCGTAAAAGTGTTTTTTCTTGTTATATATTATTTGGTTGTATGTGCCCTTCATTTTTATTTTTATTTTTTTTGGTGAAAGATGGCATAAATTTTGCGAGTATCTATATAATCTATATATTTATATATTTATACATCTATCTATCTATTCTATCTATCTATAATAGAAAAAAAAAAAAAATAATAATTTCCTAAAAGGATATTTCGCCAGATGCCTTCTGCCAGAATCGAACTGGCGACCTTCTGCTTACTAGGCAGACGCTCTGCCAACTGAGCCAAGAAGGCAATTCTTGGAAATGAGTGAAATAAATATATTTTGTTTTATAATATTTGTTTTAATTCAAGACGAAAATTCTTTAAATTTAACAAATATCACGTGTAATAACCACAATAATTTATATCATTTGTTATACAAGAAAAATTTTTCATACGTCTAATCTAAATTTTATAAAATTTTTGATAATATTGTAATTGAATTTTTTTTAAGGCTAAAAGGCTAAATAAAGTTCATTTTTTTGATATAAAATTTTTTTTGACTAATTTGAAAAAATTTGGTAATAAAAAAAAAAAAAAATTTTTTAAGTTGTAATATTGTAATATGTAATAAAAAAAAAAAATATTTAACAAAAAAATTGTTCAACTCCACATCCCATATATTCTATAAAGACAATCCAGAATCATTAAAACTACAATTTCATAATGCTAGTAACCGAAGTCTCTAAAAAAAAAAGGATCATGATCATATAAACCATTATTTCCCTAAATTCTAATTCCCCATAATTTCCAAAAAAAAAAAAAAAATATCCAAAATATTTTATCAACCATCCCATTTCTCCAACCATAAGAACTTTTTTTTTTACATGTTCCTTACAAATACAGATTGAGTCGGTATTACCATCTGAGAGACTGGACTATCAAGTCCCGTCATTCCAGTCAAGGATGATGTCATCCCTATGCTCATTATATTACCTGAATTAACATTTCCGTTAGATCCATTAGATACTGTTGTAGTAGATAACATTGCCGAGGTACTTTTCTCCCATAAACCTTGAGACGGGACAATCATTGAAGTAGTAACAGAATTTGGTGAATTATTATCGGTATTCACCGAGTTACTTGTTACTTCAGTCGTGGTAGAACTTGAACCTATAATACCATTTTTACTACCATTATCAGTTTCTTTGACCACATTAGAAGAGGACGACGATGGATGAACAACGCCTAATCCGTTAGATGCAGCCGTTGTGGTGGAACCTGTAGAGTCAGAAATTCCATTTGTTTGATTTTGAATATGTGCATTTATTCCGACAAGTCCACTACCGATAGCACCAGGATGATGTTGATGCTGATGATGGTTATGAGAATGTTGATGTTGGTGTTGTTGTTGTTGATGATGATGAGCTGCTACAACAGCTACTTGAGGATGATGGTGATAAGCTGTTGGAATCACTGGAGGACGATGGTGAGGATGATGATGGGGATGGAAAAATAATTGTTGTGGGGTTGGACTAAGATGAAAACTTCCAAAATTTGATGTTAAATTGTGTATTGGATTATTGCCAGTACCATAATTATTATTATTAACATCTGCTGTCCCGTTAATTCCATTATTATTGGCAATTCCATTCGTCGTATTTGAAGAAGGTGCTGGAAAGGCTCCTAATGCGCTAAAATTAGAAAGTGCTGATGATATCTGGGGTGATTGGTGAGTCTTCCCAATTGGACCAAAACCGGAAAATTGCGTTGTTGGCGTCACAATTGGTTGATCTTGGGAGATATTTTGTGATGATTGATTAAAGTTTTGCAGTGAATTAGCTCCAACCCCATGAACAGAACCGACTGAAGAAACAAGTGGAATAGGTTGAAATGAAGAAGTAGCATTAGTATTCGGATTTGGGAGGTTATTTAAATGTGCTAACGGATTATAAGAAGTTGGGAATGGTGTAGGACTAGTTAATGATGGTGTTGTTAAAGGTGGTGAAAAGGGTCCCATGTGAGTTGGAGGAATAAAATGAGGATGAGGAATTGGTGGATGACCCAAATGAAAATTATGGTGATGAATAAGTGGAGGAGGAGGCGGTCTATGATGTGGATGTACGGTCAAATGTGGATGCGGAGGTGGATTATGATGATGATGCGGAGGAAAAGGTGGAAATGAAAATTTATCAAAATGGACACGTAAAATCCTTCCTTGAAATTCATAGCCATTGTACATCCCTAAATTATTATTGTGTAGAAAACATCGATTCAACATTCAATTTATATTATATTTATTAAAAGAAAAAAAGATAATAAATAAAATGCAAATTTTTCTTACCAACAGCATTCCTAGCATCCTCAGGTGTTGCGAACAACACTGTGCCAAAACCTCTACTTCGTCCGTCATAATTAGTTGAAACATCAGCCCTAATGATATTTCCGGCATTACGGAAGAGATCTTTCAGATCTTGCCATTGACAATTAAATGGTAGCTATAAATATTTGAATCAAATAAATTATAATGTATAATATGACATACAAAATGACGAAAAATCCGAGATCTTACATTTCCAACAAAAAGTAATTTTCCGGCATAATTTTGCTGAGGGGCCTGAATTCTAGCCGGCTACAAAAAACAAAAAAGAAAAGTAAAAAAAAAAACCTTGAATACTTTCTTTTAAAACATATCGAATATTACTTACTCCATAGATAAGACCTTCTAGTCCTATCACATGACCCGGCCCATAAGGGTTTGTCGCAAGATCAACCATTCGACGTGAATGGTCTTGTGAGTGATGATGGTGATGATGATAATGATGTCCATTACCATTAACGTTATTTTGAACGTTCGGATCAACAAATCCTCGATCCTCTCGTACCTCCAAGATTCTACCTTGCCAAGGCTTTTGATTAAACATAGCTGAATAAATTAAGGACATTTATGATAACTGTGTAAATGTCTTTTAAAAAAACAAAAATTGACATCTCACTAAAATTTAAAAGTTTGTACCGATCGCGTTTTTTGCTTCTTCAAGAGTTGTAAATAGCACAGTCCCATGACCTTTTGATCTATTATCATATCCCAGCGCAACATCTGCGCGTATGACCGTCCCCGCTTTTCTAAATAGATCCTTCAAATCCTGCCATCTCACACGAAATGGTAGCTATGAAGAATATTATCATATAAAGATTAGGTGTTACGGCCCAAATTTATGATTCGGACTTGATCACTTACATTTCCAACAAATAATTGCCTTTGTAAGATTGAAGAATTAATAATCCCTGGAGATGAATTATTTGCAGTATATTCTTCACTACATGTTGTTCCATTCGTAATCCCGTTAATATTTGTGCCATTCATGTTAAGAATTTCATTTTTTGTAATTTTTGTAATGGAAGAATAGTCTACGGGTGATGTAGTAGATTGTGTTGATGAGGAGGTGCCATTGATATCATTTGAATTCACTGATACCGATAAGCCATTAGTTGAAGTGATTTTATCGTTTTCCGACTAAGGATTACAAATTTAATAAATAGAATTTCATCCCAATATTTTTTTTTTTTTAGCAAACCAAAAAAAAAAAAATCTGGATTACTTAATTAAATACCTCAGTTTGATCAATATTATTGACACACTCCGTACGTGGAGGAGGTGGAGGGTAATCGTTTGCAATACGATCCTAATACCAAATTTTATTTGTTCGTAAATCAATGAATCAATGAATCAATAAATCAATAACCGTGATTAAAAATTAATACAAATCATTTACCTCCCTAACTTCTAACTTCCTACTATGCCATTCATATCCATCAAATTCTACTGTATTATCACAATACACAGAGTATTAATATTGAGAAAATTCTTTCTTTTGAATATGATAACACAATCCCATTTTATTAAACAATAATATAATGTAACTTTAGATTATCTTACATATGGCTTTTTGTGCGTCTGCAACTGTAGCATAGAGTACAATACCATGTCCTTTCGACCGACCATCGCGACTTTGCATGATATTTGCACGTTGCACATTACCGGCCTTTCTAAATAAATCCTAGCAAAATAAATTTATAAAGTTGGATGAATTAATATTTGTTACATTAAAGATAAATAAATAAACAATCAAATCAATTAAAAATTTAATTAACCTTTAAATCTTGCCAACCGACTATTTCAAGCATATAAACGTAATTTATTAGTATTGATTTCAAATTGTGATAACCAATCAAAATAATTGCATAAAAGTTTTCTCAAAGTACATCATTCGCGTTTTTTTTTTTTTTTTCACTAACCTATAAATGGAAGCTTTTTATTTGCGAAATATGAAAATTGTCATCCAAAGGCAAATTTTTTTTTTTTAAAAAAAAAAAAAAAAAAATTATTATAATTTATATAAAATAGATTAAGATATTATTGTTAAGCTATAAAAAAAAAAAATTGATTCAACTTCCCCAATTTTCACTAAAAATTAAATATAATATACTCACGTTGCCAACGAAAAGTTGTCTACCTTTGATTGTCATTATTTACAAAAAAAGAAATTTTTTATTTTTAAAAAAAATTTCTCGTCCTCTTTTAATATTTAAAAAAGGAAGTATCAAACTATTATTATTTTTGGGGGAGAGCTAACCAACCATTAAACGAAAAAAAAAATGTATCTTAAAAAACTATACAAGCGAAAAATAATATTTAATGGAACGCGAGTTTATCAAATAATAAACACCGCGTTATAAAAAAAGGTACAAATATCAATAGATAAAGTAATATAAAAAAATTGGTTGTATTGTAAATAAACACCAGTAAAGGTGAGTGATAAAATAAAGGGAGAAGATACAAAAAAAAAAATGTGCGAAATAAAAAGAAATAAAAGCGCGAAGAAAGCGTATTAGAACCAATTTGTCTAGTAACTATAGGGTATAACGTGAACAAGTACGACCGCAGACGAAATTTTACGCAGGACACAGTCTACGAAGAATTTACACCATTTAGTCGGTTAAAAAAAGAAAATAAAATTCTATTACAATCGTTATATTTATATGTTTATGAAGTTTATTTACAAAATAGTCGAATAATACATATATCAGGCACGAGAAGAAATGTTTTTTTACAAAGAGGTAATATTCTCGTACATTAACTTTATTATTAAAGGTAGATTCGTACGAATTTACATACGGCACATAATTGTAAAAATCGAAAAAACAGGGTTCGTGTGTATATGAACACTATAAATCGAGGAAAAAAAAAATTTTATTGATACTCAGTAGGAATGATGACGAATTGGTTTCGCTTTTCCAACTGCGAAAATAATACATCATCAAACGATGAACGATACCATTGGGCAAGTTTTTTGGGCTGTTCTTAGCAAAGTGCGGCTTGACTTATTGGGCGTGGGCGCGGGGTCCACACCTGCAAGACCTGTGACATGCGTGTGCACAGCATGAATTCGCTACTTCTAATTTGGATAAACGTGACGATTCCCCTTCGCTTAGAAAATTTTAAAGAACTTGACAATATCATTTTATTTAAGCATATATAGATGATTTTCTATTAAAATAATCGACATCATTAAAAATCTTCTTGCCCGACGGTATCCAATTCAATTCTTTCTTCATCAGTATAATATCCCTCTTGATCAATTTGCGTGTCTGGCCTCTCAGTATCATATATCATACCTACATTTTTATGAGGGGATGGTTGTTGTTGCTCGCATTCTTCACACCAATATTCCCTAAAAACAATTGAACTTTATTAAATTTTATATACTAGTAAATAACTTAAAATTTTAACTTACACGTTCATTGATTCTTTACGATGCGAATGCCATTCAAGAGCACACGTTTTTTTATCACATTTATTGCAATTAATAATACATCTTCTAAAGGATGCGTCTTGAAATAACCTTGGATGAAATTGATCATCATGACAATAGCTAACAAAAAAATTTTATTTTTTTAGATATAAATAAAACATTGAATAAAAAAAATGATCCAAAAAAAAAACAATTCTTACTTTGTTTTACGCATAAAATCAACTAGTTGATCTCTATGTTCAGACTCTTCTATATAATCACAAGTACGACACTTCAACAAAAGTTTTGAAGCATTAGTATCTTCTATTTCGAACATGAGGTTACGACTAATTTAATAGAAAAATAAATTATTATCTTTTTTGAACTTTTATTACTTGTAATAAAAAGTTTTTAATATTTATGATACCATGTAGGACAGTATTTCAAATCTGGTCGCCTCATGGTTCATAAAGTTGAATTATTTTAGAAAGAAGTTCAACAAATTGATGACTCTTTATAATTTTTTTTACGTCAGTTTAACCTTTGATTTAAATTATAATAAACGTCATATTCTATATTAATAATCTCATTTATTTTATTCTATGATACAATATGTTCATTTAATATAAGATATAATACAAAGGCGCAAGTAGAAATATTAATCGATATTTTAATAATATAAAATATAATTAAAATTCTTTGCGCAAAAATAATATAAAATAAAATAAAATAATAATCCGCCATTATAATTAATTAAGTTCTAAAATATCCAGTCCACGTAGAATAAAATAAAAATAAACTGAAAGAATGGAATTCAGAAATTCAAAATAATAACAATAATAAAATTTATTAAGCCCATTTTGTGTATATATATGTGTGTTTTTTTGAAAAGGAAAATGTTTCATAATTTAACAAGCATAGCGGAGACTCTTAAAAAAACCGAATGAAAAAGAAAAGATAATATTACTCATGATAATTCAATAAAGGATTATCATCATCATCTAAATTAGCTAATAAATCATCAATGATTAATTCATTGTCTTCATCTTTTCCTTCCACAGTAACTTTCATTCTCTTTGAAGCTCGATCAGCAAACTCGTCAACTTGATCATCTAAATATGTCCTTTGATTAAGATATTGTTGAGGGAATAGAATAGGCGGGACGTACTGAGTCATCGTGGTAGTTGATTCTACTGCGGGTGCGGTAGAAACACTTGCTTTGGTTGTTCCAGTTGTTGAAGGTGTGCTGGTATTAACGTTATTAGAAGAAACTTTATTTTCAGATAATAAATATTGATTTGAAGCATGAGAGGAAGAGGATGAATCGACACCATGGGTGCTTCCCATAAGATTAAATAACATTTGATGATCATGTTCCGTAGGATTAAAATTCGCACCATAATATGTCAAAAAATCATTCTCGGTGGCAGCACTTCCTTCTAAAGTAATCTCTTCATGTTCATCAGGATCAAACCCTAATTGAGAAGTTAAGGAAGTCAGATAGTCGACGTTTGATTCAACTGCACTGATACGAGTTTCGAGTTCACTAATGCTTCCATTAACTGGAAGAATATTATCTTTTCGACTGATTAAATTTGAAGGTGTAGATGAAGTATTGGGTTCAGTTTGATGAATTGAAGTTGTAGTTGAAGGTAATTTATATTGAGAATTCGAGATGTTTGAATTATTATTTGAAGAAGTGGATGTAGGAACAGAAGTGTTATTTGTTGTGTTGGAAGTCAAAACACTTGGTACAGGGGCATTTTTGATGGAATCTGATGCTATTGATGTATTAGCGAGAGTATTATTAGGAATGGAAGTTGATGGTGGTGGGAGCAATGAAGGGTCACTTTGCGATATTTGATTCAAAATTTGGTCAGATTGGAGCAAATTAGAAAAGTGGGTTGTAGCTGAATTTAAGAAATCGGTATTAATTCCATCAGAAGACAATGATGGTAAACAATTTAAAATATCAAACTGTGACATATTTGCAGATGATGGATCATTGATCGCTAAAGAAGCTAAAAGTGATAAAGCCGCTAAAATTTTTAAGCATATTAGTCATTAGTGAAATTTCTTTCAAAATAATCATAAATAATATATTAATTTAAAGAATGTTTATTTACCAGGATTATTAATATCTAATACCAAACATGAAGCATCGGCTTCATTAGGAGAAGAGTTGGGAGAAGCGGTTGTTTGCCCATCATTACCAGCGGTCCAAGTATTTCTTTGCTCTGATGATCCTACAACATCTTGATTACCATAGTCCGTATCAGCATTACCAAGTAATAATCTTCGTTTCTTTGGTATAATGGCTCTCGTTTTATCAGCAGAAAACACTGAAGCAAGAAACCGTAAGATTTTATCAATGGTTTCTTGTTGGCGCCGATGCCTCTCACGCGCTGACATAGTCTCCTGCCATAGAATTTGATTATCCCTCTGAATATTCTTTAAATCTGCACTTATAGTCAGTTGATGTTTCTTAACGGAAGCAATTTCATTCAATATATGATTTAGATCAAGTTCATTTGGCTCTTTAATATTTTCAGTATCTTTCCCTTTCTTACGAGTAACATAATATAAGAGATCCGGTTGATTACGAATGAAATTCGTATTGCTGAATTCCCACTGTTCGGACTGTCCGTCTGATTGGAGTACACCCTGTTGAAGATGTGGAATTTTATGAAACCCATACATATTCAACTGTCTCACAAAACTGCTAAAGTTGTTATGTTTGAAGAATCGTGGAAGAACTTCTTTTGCAAAGTCTTGAGGTCTCTTCACTTTATTAAAAAAAATAAAAAGATTAATAGATTGAAAAATTGATAAGTAATAAATGATTTTCAGATTATTGACTTACCAAGGAAAGAATTACCGGCCTCAGACCAAATGATTAAATCGTTTGACTGAGGATCATTAACCATGCTAAATTGATAAAGGTTGTCAGAGGATAAAAGAAACATAAGGGATACACATGACTATAAGAGAAAGAAAAGAACCAAGCTCTCCCAAAAAGGGCCAAAAATGGGAATAAAAATTATAAAGTACCAAAATCTTACTTATAAAGTTTATTCAAAAAAGCCGGTACAGTTCGATTACCTGCCCTTGTTGGAGATCTAGGAGCCACTGGTCTTAGTAGTGGTGGAGCGGGAAGTGAAAGGTTAGTACTTCCCGGAGAGTCATAATCTGTTGGACTATCCGGCGGCGATTGAGATGAACGTTTCCGTGAATTTGATGAAAGAACATCGGAAAGTGGATTACTTGTAGTTCGCTTGCCGGTTGCTAATGAAGATTGGACTTCCGTTTTTGTGTGCTGCATTTCCTGTAAAAAAAAAAAAAAAAAAAAAAAAAAAAAAAAAAAAAGGAAAAAATAAACTAACTAGAAAATAAAAGGGTTTCGATTGCAAATGACGGTATTTGTTTAAATCCTACTAGGCAAAGTAAGTTATTCAAGAGATCTTGTAATCGGCCGTTTTTTTTTATTTTTAACAGTGATCTAATAAAGAAGACGTAGCGCGACGCTTAATGGGGAGAAAAGCAAAATAATCACGTGATTAATCTGCAAATTCAATATAATATCGAAGTCAAAAGGGAATTTTTAAGTCGTCAATTCTTAAGCAAAGTTCTGTCACGTGAAGTGATACCATTTCGAATTGATTACTACATAAAAAAAATCAACAATGTCCCCTAAATTCAGTAACATTTTAACTTTATTCTCTGAAGAAGTTATGAGTAGCAACTAATTAAATATGTTAACAAAATTTTAAGTAGAAACTTAAGCAACGAGAATACACTTAGAGAAAGGAAGTTCGATGGCTCCGCTATTCTTGATACTTCAAAAGACGAACTCATAGGGTACCCGGTACTGCTAAAAAAATATATTTTGAAGGTTATTTTGAGATTGAAATATCGGGTTGGTGAGTTTAGACTATGACTAAAATTTAAGGAAAAATCGTCAACGAAATTTTTTAGTATGATTAATATAATACCTAATGCTTCATTTTCACGGTTCTCCTAGAAAGTTCGTTTTTGAGTTGCATGCTTGCAAAACAAAAAGATTTCTCAATTGTTGTTTTACAGATTGCTGGACAGTATTACAAAGGAAAACCAGAACGGAATTTCTTGATTGAATTGAAGAAGTTGATGAGGCAGACATTGCTATAAACCAACTACATACACAATAAAAGATAAAAAAACATTCAACACCTTTCTTGAGACTGTTCCGGTGCTAAAAAAGTTAATAAAGATAAATTTTACCATTGACACTTGTAAGTATGCAATTAAATTTATGCTTTTTTTTACATAAGTTTTGATTACTTTCACATTTAGCACAGATAAATGTCTCTAAATTTAGGAAAATAACTGACCTAGTGGATATTATAAAAGACTTGACTACAATTGATGACTTACCTCAAATGAAATTCGTAAGTATTGTTCTTGAGAAATTTCATATGTTGTATATTCATACTAATGTTTTCAAGTACATCAGGTCCAATTGCTGGAACGATCATATTATATTGATGCTGTTTTACGTGACATTGTTAAATCATTTGGAAAAGATGTTCAAAATTATAAAATCATTGGATCTCATGGTGATGGACGCGTAGATTTTATATCAAGCATGCGAATACAAACTAGGGAACGGGTTGTTAAGTCCGAACGAAAATTCAATAATGTAACACAAATGTAGAAAATATAAAGTACGCGTATACTTAATAAAATAAACTACTTGAAAATTTTAACACAAACAAGTTAATTAACGGGTTTACTAATTTACGCGTTATAATTGAGATTAGTTGGTGTTAGGGTTAGTATAGGGTTAGGGTTAGGTGTTAGGTGATTTGTCACCGGCGTGACACTGGTGATGTTTCAATTTTTATTATATTTTTGAGGGACAGAATTTTTTCGGTGGGTGATTCTTATTTGTCACTCATTGGGATGTTATAAATAAGCATAATCAATTATACCAGCCAATCATAGCGTGGGGGGTAAATTAGTAGACTCGCTAATTAACGTGGTTGGTTATTAATAAAAAAGCTATTTGAAAATCGAACACAATCAAGTTAAGTCATTCGTTTATTAATTAATTAATTAATTATACTAATAAAATCAAAATTAGAGATTATTAAATTAATATAACTGTGCGAAATAATATATACAAACAATAAACTTTATGAAGTATAAATTTTAATCGTTTTGAGTAAATTTTTGTAAATGGGTTCGTAAAAATATATATAATCGATATATCTATACGTATAATTGAACTGAAACAATAATCTCATTGAAACAGTACCATCCATTTTGATTGTCTTGTTATCATTACTTCAATTATTTTTATATTTCAAGATCTAACTATAAAGATTGGAAATCAATTTGATTTATAAGATCTTATAATCACTAAGATTGAATATATTTACTTCAATAAAGTTCTTCACTCACAATCAAACCAAAGTCCACTATATAATGAACAACCAAACCACTAATTCTAATATTCTTTGAAAGCATAATGAAACAAATGAACAATGTAAAGAACATTTTGCACATGATCACAAAAGAAAAGAAAAAACCAAGATCATAAAAAAAGTATGTAAATAAAAAAAGAAAAAAATTCAATAGAAAATGCTAAGAAATGTAAGATTTATCTTAGAGTAAAAGTGAATGTAAATGTGAAACACGCTTTTGCAATAAATAAAATCATAATGAATTAATAAGAAAGAATCCAAGAGATAATGCTAACTCACCTATACATAATAGAATACTCTCAGTTACTACTATCAGCAAGAAAGAATAGTTTATTACAAAAATTTCACAATAAAATGGCAAATATTAGATATGATTTTTGTCTTGTTTACAACAAGTAAATATAATAATAATGATTATCAAGAAAATGAGTTAGCATTACTATATAAAAAGATATTATTAAAAAAGTTTTCTGTAAGAATAACATAAATTTTGGTAATATAATAGAGGAAATAAAAGAATTCATAAGGATCAAAGAGAGGTTATTCATATAAGTTTTATGGTAATATTAGTATATTAACTTTAAAGATATTAAAATAAATACAGAAAAAATGTTATAAACTTTCTCTAAAACATTTAAGAATCTACAAATAAACTTTTACAACATTTATCATAATTAAAATACTATTGATATAGTATCAATTAGTATAATTTAGTAAGTAAATTAGGGATTTTATTGTATAATATGATCAAGATATTAAAGTATTAATATGATTAAAAGAAAACAATATATACTATAAAAATATTTTGATATTCTCTAATTCTTATTTGCAAATAGATCTATTAATAATTAGCTTAAATAAGTTCATAATAAATCAATAGATAAAATATTAAATGATAAAAAATTCAGAAAAACAAGTATAATATTTATTTATATTATTTTTATATTTATCATAATATAAAATAATATTATTAATGATATACTTAATCATATTATCACTGTAGAATTCTTTAACTTGGGGTGGTTACGTTATCAAGTCTTTACTCAAAGTTTTCTAGTTATAACTTATTGCAATCAAAACATTAGAATCTGCTTAACTTTTAACTTTATTAAATTTACGCGTTAGATTTAAATAAATTTATCAAGTATGAAGGCTTGAAAGATAAGATTATAAATAATTTAATTAAAAAATTTGGATAATGAACTCAATTACAAATAATGTATAGAGATCACATCAGACTATATGAAGACATAAAGAGGCAGAAAGATATAAGTTTTGAATGATTTCTTTATTAATATTGAAACTCATATTCGTAAGAGAGTTAATTTACAATATAAGCAAAAAGTCTATTTATTGTACAAATTTCTTTTATTATGGCTAACTAATTACTATGTTATAAACTAACTAAATTAGTAAAATATATGTAAATAAATATATTGAGAATAATAAAAATACGTAAAATAATAAAAATATAAAATATAATAAAAATAATAGTAAAATTTAGAATATTAAAAATAAGTATAACACTAAATATTTTTAGATTTTATTTAATTTGTAAAATTAGAATTATCATTAGTATTTAAAAGATCTTTAAAATTATATAGATCTTTCGTATTTTTAGAATTTGCAGAATTTTCAGTATTTTTAGAATTCTAGATTAAGAGATTGTTATATTGTATCATCTATGTGACTTCATTATGATTGATCAATTGCTTCATTGACAATATATAAAATAATAAATATTTTTTATTATAATTAAAGATTAAAAGTATTTTTATCAATAAATTTTATATATTTAGATATATAATGAGAATATTTTTAACTTTATATCTATACAGTTATGTTAGTCTTTATTAAAAATATAATAAAAAGATTATGCTACTAAATATTTTAGATATTTAATCTAATACAAAAATAAAATCTTATCTAAAAATATAAGAAAATATAAGTATTTTTTGAAAAAAATTAAACTTTATATTCAATTTTTTATATATTATTACCATAAATTTTTTATTCAGATTAATTAATTTGATTATTTAAAAAAAATAGATTTTAAGTTTTTATCATCTTATTAGAATTTTAATAATAAAAAAATTTTTACTTAATTTATAATATTCTTTTATAATTTTAATAGTAATAATTATAATATGAATATATAATTCAATTAATAAAAACTTATTTATAAATTAATAAATATAAGTTTAATGAAATCACCTATTATTCGGTTCAAAAAATATCACTATATAAAATATTCAGATTTCTTATAAAATTTTAACTTAAAGTCCTAAAGAATAGTTTATAAAAGAATAGTTTAGTCAATACTTTATAGTAATTAGATTAATAATCAAATATTCTTTTGTATTTTGTTGAATTAAATTCAATAGTTAATTAGTACAAATCAATCCAAAATATAATGAATTAATATTATACAATCATGACTTTTCAGATAAAATTTAATATCCTATAATTTAACAATATGTATTCTTTTTCACTAAAATAATATTACATATTTGAAAAACTTATAGATTTATACTAATAAATATATGTTAAAAAATATTCAACCTATTTGAATAATAAATCAACCTTATAATTAAATAATATTAAAATAATAATCAACTGTACTATTATTTATAATAAATTTAGCTAAATATACAAATTTTTTACATGTCATAAAAATATTAATAGACTAAAAATTTTAGAACCAATTTAGCACCTTTTAAATTGATTTATTTTAACCTAAATTATTATACTATCTTTTAAATTCTTATCAAATAACTTTCTAAAATTAAATATAATATAAGTCATATTGTAGTATTTAAGCATCAAATCAAATATTTTGCTTAAAATAATTATATTA